TTTTTTTTCTAATTGGTGTTTGAACATAAAAAGAAACAACGAATTAAAAGAATATAGGATTTTTTTAAAAAAAAAAAAAATTACTAGCAAATGAAGCATGTGTAACTTGTGTAGTGTTGAAGGATGGATTCAAATCCACCGAAAATTGAGAATAATGGGGGGATTTTAAGTTCATGGATTTCAGTTTCTTAGACAACAATGCTCGTTATGTTTTTTAGCCATTAATTTCAATATAATAAACCTTGGGTTTATGCCCAAAGATATGCACTTTTCACTTGGAAGTATGAATGTACACCTCACTTATGTTACCATTTAAAATGCCATTGCTTGTTTTATTTTTTTCCTTTAAACTTGTTCTGCTGCTTAAACTTTACTTAAGCCAACACTTCCTATTTTCACATGTAGGATTGTTGCCTCAAATATGGGCACAGCTTTTAAAAATAACAATTATTCAAAAGCACAGAGGCCATCTTTGCAATAAACAAAGGAAAATAAAACTATGATACCATAAAACCATAACATTAATCATTTCCCTTTGGTCAAAGATTTCCTTACCTTGCCAAGGAGTTGATCAAAAAAGCATAGTAGATTCTCCACTCAATTCCCTCCTCACCAGCTCAAGGATCTCGATAATCTGTGTTGCCATAGTAAGGACTTGTTAAATCGAAAAGGAAAATTGTAACTTAAAAGCAGAAATTATAAAATGCAGCTGTCAGTTCACTTCAGGCTTTACTTTTTAGACCAAAGTTCCATTGTACAATGCTCTCATGCAGGAAGATTGCATGTAAATATGACAACTCACACACACACACACACACACACACACACACAGAGTTGACATTCATAGAAGCCTTGAATTTCTAACTTACCCCGGGATAATGCTTTAATACTGGAGAATAATGATCGAGGGCAATGTATATTTTATGAAGCAATCTCAATAGCGCATCAACCTCATCTCCTAAAACATCAACCTGAAACATGGAAATACTATAATAAGCACTCTAGCAAAGCTTAAGGGTGTGATTGTTTATAAACTCAACTAGAAAAACCCAATCAAAACTCAAATATAACTCAACTTTAACCCAACTTAACTATCCTCAAATATTATCAATATAATTAAATAATAGCAACCAATCATTCTTACATATCACATCAACTTTAATTCACTATTCATAACACTCACGTAATTTTAACCAACCATCACTTCCAATCATTTTTCTCCAACGTTTACATCAAATCAACTTTAATTATTTTAATTTAAACTTAAAACAACTAAACATACCACCTTTTTCAAAAATTAACTATGGTTAACTAAAAACAATCACAAACCAACCAAATCCATATCCCATCACACACTAAGAAACTGCCAATTGCAAAAACAAAAACATCCAACTCATGAAGCTTATCAGTATAAAGCAAGAAACAAGCACAGTAATAGTAATGTTGCAATAAGCACAAACACCGATTGAAATTGGATATAGATCTTTTTTCGAAAAAAAAAATAAATAAATAAATAAATTGCCTTGCATGATAAAAGAGGCAGAAAGGGGGAAAAATGGATTAAGAATAAAATAACTTTGAGATTGTGAGTGGAAATAATATAAAGGAACATGTAATGATTGAAGTTGATTTGATATAAAAATAGTTATATATTGATGGTTAATGATTGGGGGTTAAAACATATGTGAGTGAATGAATAGTGTTTTTTGTTAGAGAATGTGAAGTGATTATTGATCTTTACGTCGAAATTTGGTTAATGAGATCGAGAAGAAAAAAGTGAGATCGAACAAATAGTGTTTTTCCTTTTTAAAAAAAATTGATCCGATCATAATCTAGATTGAAAATATTTATCCGCGAAACGAAAATGAAAAAACTTATATCCGATCCTGCACACACCTCAGTCTCAGCCTTCTGCAGATTAGCACTTTTTAAATCCAGTTTCTGCTTGTATATTAGCTCGCTTCTTTTGAGATCGTTGGCCATCTTGTTAAGAGCTTCCAAGTGACAGCTACTATCTTCAAGCCTGACAATACACAATCAAAAATTCAAATTAATTTGTTTATGAAAATATACATCATGATGCATATAAGAAGCATATCAAAACAAAAAACGAGGGGTGAGGGTAAGTTAAATGATAAAACATCAACATCAACATACCCAGTATATTCCCAAACAGGTTGGGGTCTGGGGGGTCAGTTGTACGCAGACCTTACCCTTGTAATTATACAAGGAGGCTGTTTCCATAGCGACCCAAGGTGCGTTGCGTCGTTTCATATATTTTTCCTAGAAACTTCACTAATAGAAGAAGCACTAGAATTCAATTGAGTCATTTTGATCTAGTCCATTATTTGCACGATGCCAGAAGAATTGTCAACACTGACTCTTCCAGCTCCATTTGCAATGGACTCAAGTTAAATGATAAAAGAAAACAAAAAAATAATGACAAGAAGAATACACACGAAAAATAATCAATATGCCCAAACAATCAACAAAGTGATCCAGATTATTCAACAATATATAACTTTATTTTTAGCATGGTTAGGCATAAGATTGATAGATTATACCTTAAACTTATCTTACTGATTGCCCCTGATATTCTCCATTCGAAATCTTCAAACTTGTTCAATAATCCACTCACAGCCAATTCCATTTCACTTTTCAGTTTCTCCTCTCTAGATTCATCTAATAGTAACCTATTGTGTGCTTCTTGGGTTAGAGTCGATAATATTTTGTTCGTTTCTGTTAAAACCTCTTTGGTCTGGTCCAGCTCTTGCTGAAGCTTCAGCTTTTCCAGTTTATTTTCTTCAATCTTCTCTACTGCTTCTAAGCATTGAGACTTCAACAATTCTATATCCCTGTTGCTCTCGGTAACCAATGCCTCCTGAAGACTTGCATGCTCTCTTAAACCACTAAGCTCTCTAGAAGCCAGCTCAAACTCCTCCCTGTTTTTGGACAATGAAAACGATAAATCCATGGCTAACTTCACTTTGTCTTGCAGTGCTGTTGTCAATTCCTGGATATCCTGCTTTAGTTTCGTATTTTCTTCCACCTCTAATCTCAGTTCATTTTCCTTCTCATGAGCTTCAGCTTCTAAACGAATCTTCACTTGTTCATCAATGAGAGCTTCCTTACGCAAGTTGTTGATCAGAATTACAGCATCCCTGACAGCCTCTGTGAATATAAACTCACTCAATTCTTGCCTTATCCACAATCCAATATCTTGATCTTCACTATCATCTCTGTTACCACAAGCTTCCCTGATGATGATATCACATATTTCATTGGCCATAAGAAACTCCATGCTTGAATCTTCAGAGTCACACCTTGTCCGTGCAGCAATCTGCTCCCTGAGAACAGACTTATATACTTCTTCAGTGAGTGAAGCCCCTACAAGTGAATCGTCCACAGCTGACTTGAGATTCTCCACAAGCTCCAGCATATTTTCCTCGGCCAAAGAACGTTGCAATATTTCCTCAGAGGCAATTGAAACCTGTGCTTTCAGACAATTCACCTCACTTTCCTTATCGTTCAAGGTTTCCCTTAGCTGACGATTTTCGAGGAGAAGGCTATCCAGCCTGAGCTTCAATTTCTCCACGTTTTCAAAATTTTGGAGCAGAGCAGGATATCTTTCATTCTCCAGGAGAAAGTTCTCCAACTTCGCAATAACCTCTGGAATCTTTTTCCTCAGCACATCAAACTCTTCATCTTTTCTGTGTGTCACGGGGGACCCCCTTTCTTTCAGTTTCAGGTACTCTCGTCTTAGGCTAAAATACTTTTCAGTCTTTCGCACTAGAACTGACTCATGATCTCTCTTCAGCTCAGTTATGATGCCACTAAAATGATCTACCAATTCTTCCTTTGTCATGTGCCTCAGCTGCTGATAGTCATAACTCTCCGCTACATGAATGATAGATTCATCCAACATGCCATTTTCTTCACAAAATGAGGTCGATGGAGTAATATGATTACAAAATGCCTTGTGGTGCAAATGGTCCAAATCTTGGGAGCCATGAGAACTTTCGTGCGAAGAGAGTGACTTCTGAATTGCATGCAAATGAGTGCCTAACCCGGATATATCATTGAACTTCTCGAGCCAATTCGCAGCCTGAATCCCATGTAGCTGGGCAGCATTTGGACTAAACAAACTCTCCTTTTGAAGACTCGAAATTACACTCCGCATCACCATATCCTCGAGTGTCCCTAACAAATCTAGATCCTGTTGTGACTCACAAAGAAAGGCTTCGGATGACCGTAGTATACCTTCCATTTTTAAATAAACACTATCCACTGTTGCATACAGGCTTTCCAGAATATTATCGACACGCATCAAGCTATTTCCTTGGAAACCTACACCTAATCCCACCAAATCAGAACCCGAGCCAACCTTCTTCATAGAATTACCTCTTTCATACTCAACTTCCTTCTTGGCCTTCACAATTTGTTCGCGTGTCGATTTCCTTAAGGCCAACAAGTCCTCCCTCATCTTTTCATGCTTCACGCAAACATCGGTAATAAGACAAAACCTCCCATTCTTCCCCGTTTCAAAAGACTCCCCCCCGAACGGCAACTTCACATCATTCTTTTCGAAACCCACCTCACGCGACTGCAAATACTCCTTCAAACAGGCCACCTCGAGTTCTTTTGCAGTAACTCTTTCGGCCGCTTCCTGTTCGACTGCATTCACCATTCCCTTGATAACAGAATCACTGACCATCCGTGAGATCGTCAGCCGATCGTTTATATCGTCCCAGTACTCCTCAAAACCCTCCAAAAGCACATCAGCTATTTTTTCCCCTCTCTCCTCTTCATCAATACCCACTTGTACCGTCCCATTTTCACTATACTTTTGCTCAAACCCATTTCCAGTAGCAAGAACAACACCACCCCCATTCGAAGTTCCAGAATAAACCATCACCTCTTCACTCTCCATATCAGCTTTCACATATAGCTTGCTGCAAGTAAAGCCAAAAAATAGCAAAAGAATATATATAATTAACTGATAACAGAACTAGACAACCCATATCACTTAAACACCACTAGAAGCTCACACAAGCAAAGCAAACAAGATGAACAAGCATGCAGACTCGCCGGAAAAAAATGAGAGGCAAAAGTACGTTTCCTTAAAAAACTCGATTCACAGTTCAAAGTACGTGTAATTACCTATACCCAGCTTACAAATTCTGCTAACAATCCAGCTTTGATTTTTCACTCCAGCAGCTAATTTCGATTCTAGGGTTTTATTGGGTAAGTAGAAGAGTTTTGGAGAAGATGAAGTAATTGGGCCAGAGAATAATAATGTATGAAAGAGCGGGAGTGTATAGAGGCAATTAATGAGCCCTTGTCATCAACCTTATTTACATCATTTGCCATAATTTTGCCTCTTAAATGTGATATTTTTTTTTTTGGGGGGTACAGGGACATTCCGATTTTCGGATCTACAGGGAAACCGACTAATTCGGAATCGAGTCGGATAGGACCACAAGGGCGGCAAAGCTCTCTTTCAAGAGTTTTAACACTGCTGCATTTTCAAGGCTCGAACACGAGACTACTGGTTAAGCTGGAAGAGACACAAGTCATCTCATCCAAGTGTTCTTAGGTCCTCTAAATGTGATTTTAATTATTTATTAAAGTTGAATAAGCATACAAAATTATATTGTAATCTTTTTATTCAATTTATTTATTCTGAATTAAACGATTTTTTTTTTTTTTAAATTGGTTGGTTTTAATGCTATTGTCAGACTCTTAAAATCACATGAACAATTGTCATCATAAATTATAACAAAAAAAAAAATTAATATTTTTTTATGTACTTAATTGGCCATGATCATCAAAATTATAAATTTTATGTTATTCGTTACATTTTGTCTAATCAATATAGTGACTCGTATGCATTTAAATAGTTATGTATTGTTTCTTTTCACTAATTTTCAAATTTTAAAAATATAATCCATTATATAATTTATATTATTTTATTTACATATGTGCATTTGCACAAGACTGAATGCTATTATTTGGTAAAAAATTATAATAAATGATAATTGTGTTTATTGGATGAGAAAATGAGAGATTAGTAGTATTATATTATGCTATAATAATCTCTAATTAAATAGGAGGTCAATGTTGGAAGGTGAAACATGAGGAATATAATACAATAGGTCAATAGTAGCATATATTTATGGGAGATGCTACGGTCCCGTTATAGAACTATTCTGTTGGGGTTGTCATTAGTTCAATTATTCCCGACGGTTACATAATGATCTAACGGTTACAAATACTGACGGAATAGTTTCGTAACGAGACCGTAGCATTTCCTTATATTTATTTTGTTCATATGTACAAGTACATCTGAATCTGACAGTTGAAACTTGAAACTTCCTCGGGAAAATCATCTTGAATTACACTCAGGTCCTCGAACTAATATTTATTATCAATTTCATACGGATAAATGATTTTTTTTTTCCTTTGTACAAGAATAGAGGCTAAAGCCTAAGCAACACTAGAGCGGTACACGATGGGGTAAGCCACACCATTAATATCATGCATCAGCCAATGACAAAGCTCCGGCGGCGGATGCTGAAGACGATGATAGCCAACCGAAACACTTGTAGCCAGCGCAGCTAAAACATCGACCGAAAAATTTCCTTCCCGATGAATATAGGACACAAGAACTGACCAAGCCTGCCAAGTAACTCACGGATATGGTATTTTATTTTATTATTTTTTATTTGTCAGTCCCCTCAATTCAATTAATTATGTAACATCTTTTTGGCATATTCTTCTTAGTAAGCCCGTACATGGTGTTTAACACATTAATGTTGTGCTAATTTAATTTTATAAATTATAATCTTGATAAATTAAGATAGAAAAAAAAAACATAAATAGCATTTGATAGTACAAAAATTTATTTTTGTTTTTTTCAGATATCCCTATAGGACGCGGTCAGCGAGAATTAATTATTGGAGATAAGCAGATCGGTAAAACAGACGTAGCTACATATAAGATTCTCAATCAACAAGCGCAAAATGTAACATGTATTTATGTAGCTATCGGGCAAAGAGCATCTTATGTCGCGCAGGTAGTAACTAATTTACAGGAAAAAGGGGCCATAGTATGACCAGTTCAATTTATTTGTCTAATGGTTAGGCTGACCCACACGAAATTTGTGTAAGAATCAAAACATATTCAACCTTCTATATATTAATAAAAAAAAAAATGCTGAATTTTATTACACAAATCCTAAAGGATTAATTTTATTACACAAATGCTTCAGGACATCAGTTCTCAACATTCACATCCTTCAATTTGATCACCAAATTTCACATTAATCTCCCTGTACTTATTATTATCTTACAAGAAATGCCCACACATTAAGCTACAAACTCTATACACTAATTTTCACATATTTGTGATTATGTGTGAACTGTCTATAGTTTGCTGGACACAAACTGAGTATGAGACATAACTTCTACCATTAATTGGTCTCTCCTTAACTTCCCAGTCGTCGTCGTTGGAAAATCGTTCTCCCACAGAATAAACCTTTTTGGAATTTTAAATCTGCCGAGCGCATAAAGTTTGTTTAAGGAAAATGTATCCGAAAAAACAGAAGAGATTAAGGATGTGTTTGGTAAACATATAAGCTAGCTTATAGCTTATTTGATTAGCATATAAGTTTCATGTATTCAAATAAATTTCGTTTGTTAGGACGAGCTTTTTTAAAAAGCTTGAACTTATCCCATAAGCTTCTTTAGCTAGCTTCTCAAATAAGCTCTTTGAAATTTTTAGTTCCTCTAGCTTTAATTTTACCAAACACTTTTATCATATAAGTTAGCTTATCAGCCATAAGTCATAAGTCATCAGCTATAAGCTCGAAATTTACATAAGTCATTACCTTGTTAAGTTCTTTTGTCTGCAAAATTGCCTAAGGATCTCACTCGACAAACACTTGACTTGTTCGACTCCTGCCGACCGACCGGCGCCAAAATCAACCCATTGCCAGTCGCTTTTTAGTTGAACACATGCGGTTACAATCTCTGTCAACCGAGCATCTGGAATCCCAATAACAACAATCCTCGAAATCCCAGGATGTTGGGATAGGACACACTCAACCTTGGTCGTGACAAAAATCAAAACAATCACGGCGTACGCTAAGACCACGGAAAAATTGAAGATTTATTCGTGTAACTTGACACATAATTGAGAAATAGTAGTCTGGTGATCATATTGACTTTACTAAACACCCTGTAACTCCAAGAAAAAAAACATGACTTTTAGTCCCCAACAAAAGTTGGTCACACTATGACCAATTGCTGACGTGGATATTATTTTTTATTTTTTTTTTTCCGTACACGTGACAATCGACTAACATATACAACTCGGCAACCAATCGAATTGACCGCTTTTGCCGGTAGGAGGACCACAAGTGTTTTTTTGGATGGTGTTTTGTGAGTATTGGTGTCAGTTACAGACTAAATCTCCAATTATTCCTTAAGACCACATTAATCTCTACTAATTTGGATCTTTACGCTTTTACGCAACGAAATTAGGCAATATATGATAATAATATTCAACTCACTTTTAACGTAACAAGATTTTTAGTTTTACCTCTTCAGGATGAACATTTTCCCCGCCACTCTTGATTCTATCCTTTGCTCGTCCGGCAAGCCATAGATTACCGTGATCGTCTATCTGCCCTATGTCTCCAGTATCGAGCCAGCCTGCAAGGCCCGGTTTCAAATGATTGGATTTGGATGTCCTTTGACCCCAGTAACCGAGCATTACGTGTGGACCCCTCGTTAGTATTTTCCCGGTGTTTGAAGATTTTTCGTCCGGGCTTATTTTTAGTTCGACATGTGGAGCCGATTGTCCTACACAAATGCCTCCTTGGAAACTCGAGTGGTATTTCTGATGGGTCGTTTTGGTTGGGTCGAAAAGAGTCATGAAGGTAAGAGACGAACATGCCTCTGTCATCCCTGCAGCAAATCGAAGCATAAAAAATTATCTGCGGTGTAATTATACTTTTTGATTTTAATCTATTTAAAAAATATAATCATAATCGCATTGAGATTTTAATACAGGATTATGAATATATACACACCATAAGCTGACATAAGTGTGGCACTCGGAAAGATTTTGATTGCGTCTTTAGTGAGCTCGGTCGACAGGCCACCACCTCCATTCAGAATCTTTTTAACCGACTCGTAAGTCACTGATGTTCTGTTTAATCTAAAAAAAAAAATAATAATCTTGGCAGCTCAATATATAGATAATGGCAAAATGAATAAACTGCAAATATCAAGAAATTTAAAAAACATTAGTGAAAAAAAAAAAACTCCAATAATATTCATCTAAGAATTTACTGTTTGTTTACCGATTAAAAGAGATTAAATCGGCCATCATTGCCGGTACAGTGATCAAGGACGTCACATTGTGTTTCTTAATGGCTTCAATTGCTAAATTAGCCTCGAACTTTGGTAATATAACATGAGAACCCCCGGCCATTAAAACGGCCATTGCTGATGATATTCCGCCAATGTGGCACAGTGGAGCTGTGTGAAGATATACCTGCAAACAGTTTGCAAATTCCAAGCTTTCAATAAACGAGAGCGCCAAAA